AAAAAGTGTAAAAGCCAGTCACCAAAATGGACTTTTGGCACACTTTGATTTCGCCCTGGCCCACTGTGCAACGGCGTTCCATATTACAAATTTGCATGGCGTTCCATAGTATACTTTTTCTGGGATTAAATTTGACCTAATTCGCATCAAAAAGTTTCTCGACATAAACTGACGCTGGTGGCGCTTTCCGAAATGTGCTAATACTGTACTACGAAAAATCAATAAATTAGAGAATTGTGGCAAGTCTAGCATGTCTTCTATGGTAATGATAATAATTTTTTTTCATTTTTTTGTGTTAGTAGATATTGTTTGTATTATATTAATGCATCAGCAAACAACTCAAGAGTGATATATGGCTTTCATAACAAAAACAAAAAATCCTTTCTCCCTCATCCCTTTTCCAAACTAGATGGGATGATAAACTAATATTTTTTATAGGGCCTTAGGTTTCTTTCTCTTTAAATGATCATATATGTTACAATATTGTTAGGCCTACTTTTACTTCCATTTCTAACCATTAATGTATTCCTTTCTTTAAACATAGACTCTGCAATAATAATGTCCGATGGGAACAAATATAGCCCAGATTACTATTAATAACAATACGATATACAGTATACAGAATACATTAGTAATCAATATTCCTGCCCCGAAGACTAAGATCCAGGATGATGCCCGGTGAATAATTATGAAAAATAAAAAAATTGTACAATACTCCATTTCATTGGTTTGTGCCTGGAATGACGTTCAGCGGAGGATGATATCAGTATGGATCACTTCAGTAAAAGAGCAGTAATTCCAAATTTATTTGCGTCAAGGGCTCTGACAGTACTCTTGAACAAGGGCCCTTCAGAACCTAGTTAAGCCTCTGCTTCTTTCTTAGCCTGGGTTCCAGGCCCTAATTTTGGGTTACTCACTCTTTATTGCACTTAGTGCGCGCCATACCTAATTTAATTGGCGTCCCATACTCGATTTCTTTTTTTTTTAAAATTATTCCGTCTCTAAATTAACACTCTCGTTGGTGGCGCTGTCCAGAAAAAAAAATGAGAGTCTTGTAGCAAGTCATCTTTTTTCTGAACATCATCGTCAATACTCACTGCCGTTGTCGGCGTCTTTATTATTAATTTTTCCACTATTATTAACACACATACTATTTTTAATGCAAGGTGAGACATTTTATATTCCTTGTTTCCTGTACTTATTTTTTAAAAGACCATCGGAGGAGGGCGGAATAAAAATAAAAATTTTGTTTTCTAATTTAGCTAACAGTTTTGCCAAAAACATCCAGACGGAGAAAGAAAATAAAAATAAAATTTTATTGGTGAAAGTAAAATAGGATGGTTAAATGCTTCACATTTATATAATTAAGAAGAAATATACAATCTTTGGAGATTTCAACGTAGCTTAGGGCGTAATAAAAATAAAGAAAATCTTCTGAAATTTCCACTTTTTCTTGGCGGCGGGTGTGCTAATTGACCATAAATTGAATTTTAATTTTATTCGAAATCATCAATATTTGTAGTTGGCGGGTTCGCAAAACAAGATATAAAAAAGTTTCGCCTAAAGAGAAAAAAAAACACTTGGCTTGAAATGAACATGCAAATTAGCAGTGTATTTTATTACCAAAATTTATTTCACAACGGATAATTGATTCATATTCAACCACATCACTTGCGACAACCACATTCAGGTTGCCACGCAACAAAAGTTGCATTCCTTTACAGAAATGTAACATTACCTTTTCATACTACACTATATATAGCGCTTTTCCATCACTAATTTGAAAAACTGTTGAACATAGATAATTACTGGAGATGGATACAGTTAACAGATAAAACAAAAGCCTGGTGCATTTTCAAATACAATGTAAAGACAGACAATTTATATTTTTTAAAGGGTTGAATAAATTCATATTATGGCCAAATAAAAGAAGGTCAAACATAAATGGTTGCAGAAGATGGAAATACAGTACATTATACAATTTAAACAAATTCTAAATGATTATGCAAAGTCTGGTACAGGTACAATTAATTACAGAATCTGTTCATGCAGGCTGTAAATTGTTTTGTTTTTCATAATGAATAAAGTAGCTAACTAACGTACTAACTTTACCCATGTACTGTAGGATATAATCTTATGCAACCTTTAAGCTCTGTCGGCACTATCAAAATTTTATTTGACAAAAACTGTTGCAGGCCCATATATAGTCATGATGTGCCCATATATAGTCATGGTGTGCCTATATATAGTCATGATGTGCCCATATATAGTCATGATGTGCCCATATACAGTATGGTTATGATGTGCCTATATATATAGTCATGATGTGCCCATATATAGTCATGATGTGCCCATATATAGTCACGATGTGCCCATATATAGTCATGATGTGCCCATATATAGTCATGATGTGCTCATATATATATATAGTCATGATGTGCCCATATATAGTCATGGTGTGCCTATATATAGTCATGATGTGCCCATATATAGTCATGATGTGCCCATCTACAGTATGGTCATGATGTGCCTATATATAGTCATGATGTGAAAATATATGGTCATAGACATGGTTTTACGTAGACTATTTACATGTACTGCTGAGGAAAAAAGAAAAAAGGAGGATATAAATGTTTCCCAAATCTCTTGTATAATATTATCACATTTCATTACTTAGGTTCTTCCATCCTCTGTCAATGTAGATAATTAGAAGCAGGCCTATATTATTATTCAGCAGTCTTTTAAAACGTGGACTAACAATTCCTTACATGCTGCACTATGTACATATTGGCTAGACAAACATGGCAAATGAAGAAACATTTTGAAAACTAACATAACAAAAAACATTATTGGAACAAATTTTTTTCCACACAAAAGTTATCGATTATAAGCTAGGCTAGTCTGGTCCGCACAAATTCTTCACATTAAATTAAAGTAAATTATTTTTGTCTTTTGTTTATCTTGAATTCTTGAAGCTGCATCCACTCTATCAAACACCTATATTTTCCCATATAGGATATGATGACACCATCATGTCTATATATGGTTATGATATGACATGTTCATGCTTTAATTAGAAGCACAAATATATTGATGCAAATTAGTGGATAGAGCTTCACATAAAAACACACAAAACTCAAAATTTCAGAATGGTGAGGGCAGCAAACAGATAAGTCAGTCTTGCAGTCAAGGGCAGTATACACATTCAAATACATACATACATACATTCAAATGTGGCAAAGATAAGCCAAACCAGTCACTCGTCGCAAAAATCAATTTGGATAAATTTTTAATAAATAGTTAAAAGAGTAAAATAAGAGCTATAAAATGGTAAAAAAAAAGTCAGTAAAATCCAACATTTCCTTATAAAGTTACAAGCAATTAAACATACAGCTGTTAAAAGGACAATATATGAGATATCAGCCTTCAAAGTTTATGATTTAGGGCATTTCTCATGCAGAAACTATCATCACATCCTTAAAAAGTGTTGATTTAACATTGAAAATAAGGAAAATAACAGTACAGAATGATATATAAATATATAAAGGTTTGTTTAGTGCAATAAAATAGATTTTTAAAAATTTGACATTCCAGCATGTTTTCGCCTCTTTCTCTGAAACACGTTTTTTGACGAGTGACTGGTTTGGCTTGTCTTTGCCACAAATACATACATATTCAAATAAGGCAATTCATAGTTAGAACTGCACATGCCTGTATCCAAGGGCAATTCACATAATCTATGTTGTGTGTACTATGATTGTGTCTACTTACCAGTTCCAAATATGAATTGACTTACTGATAATTAGAATATCAACTTTGCTAAGATTCAAGATTATAAAGGGCGGTGGTTGGATGACTTAAATTTAATGGTATATAAACTAAAAATAAAAATTTTCATTTACATTATAACTGCTAAATTTATCTACGATGAACATTTTTAAAGAAAGAACTAACTTACTGTATGTAGCAACTTAAATATGTAACCATGGTCTATGGTTCTGATTGTTTTAAAATCTACAACTATATACACATGCATTGTATTGGCTTGAGTACAAGTCAACAGAGTTAACAGGACCACCACCCTAAGGCCCTGTCCAGACTATCACATTTTATTTGTCATTTTCTATGTATTTTGTGTAACTTCATTTCTTAAAGCTGTATTCACATTATCAAACACCTATGATCATACACAAATATGGGCACAATGTTACATGCCTAAATATGGTCATGATGACATCCCATAATTTCCAGGCTCATACAACAGTTTTTTTGTCAAAGAAAATTTGATAGTATTTGACAAAAACATGTGACATGCCTAAATATGGTCGTGATGACATCACTCCATGGCCATATATAGGTACATCATGACTGTATATGGGCATACAACTGTTTGTTTTGTCAAAGACAATATGATAGTCTAAACAGAGCTTAAGTCCAAAACCAAGTTTGTGTTGCTAAAGCATGTTCAACTAAGGAGGGAAAATACAGGGTCGGCTTTTGTTTTGCAAACATACACTTTGTCACTTAAAGTTAAATCCTAAAGTATGTACATGATGTTTGAGGAGGGCATTTTGAAGCTTTGATTAATAAATATGATACCTTAAATATGGATCATAATGCTGTGATTGTTTATAGCAACATATTAATCTTAATTTGAATGTAATTTTTTCAAAATCTTAGAATCACAAATATAAAAAATGTATCCAGATCTTCAAGTTCTTGGAGTAGGCCTACAGTCGTGAACAGTACAGTGAATAATTTTATAATAAATTGTGACTGCCAGAACTATTGGTTAACAAGTACTAATAACCTTGAAACATGAACATTTAATGCGTAGGTCACAATTCTTGACAATTATATAATGAAATGCTGGATCCTCAAATGGCTGGATAATTTCCTTTTATCTTTGTTGAGTCATAAAATAACTTATGATCAATCAAATACAGTATTTGTTTTCTTTCATTTGGGCAGAATAAATGTTTGTTTGGATTGGGACAAAAAGGGATATTTTTTTCTCAATAACATGAACAAGTAACACTTTTTGGTAAAATGTTAGGAAATTATTGACTTACTATCATTCAGCTATATTTTCCCACTCATTTGTTTTATAACTTTAGCAAAATGAACACTATGATCTGTGCTGTGTAACTTAAGCACCATTGTGTAGGTAACGGGGATAAATAATACAAAGTTGAAACAAAATATCAGGCCATATAAAAAAAGATTGACAGTTGACTGTCTGAAATGTTTCATCAAGATGTAAACTATGTAATTTACGTATGACCGACTCATTCTGCGTCATTCGATGCAGCCCAACTCGATTGGCCGTTGCGTCAGGTCTGCATCGATCATATTCACCTCGTCCTCACGACTACCTAATTCATGTAAGCAGTTTACAGTAAAAAAAAATCACCAGCTTACCACAAAATAGTTTCACTATAGACTATCATATCAATAATAAAAAATATGGCCTTATGGCTAACTGCTAAAAATGTTAATACAGTTCGCCCTCCAATTCGAGACCACCTTTAGTATCTGAAAATTTGGGTTGGTCTCCAATTAGAGGGCTAGCTTTCTGTTAAAAGGTTGATGATTGTTATTTGGGTCTTTGGAAAAGTGGTCTTGAATTAGAGGGGTCTCGGATTGGAGGGTGCATTGTACAGTATATACAGTTCGTCACCTATACCCTGGCACTCAATGAATTGTACGACAGTCGTAAGACCGTCAGCCGACGAATCCAACTCGTCTCTCTTGGCGCTGGAGCGTTAGACGAAGCGATACCATCTGCTTATAGAATTGTGTCGGCCGATGACCACCGCACAAAGTGAGTGCCTGGCTTTATGAAACTTTGACTGCAGTAACGGAAATTTTAGTTACATTATGTTTGGATTTGTTTACGTCATGGGAATCTTACTTGTCCATTTGTCTAAGAATCCCATCAGTTGCTTTAATCAATAACTGGTTAGAGTTGCAACAATTTATCAGCATAAGATAGGCAGATTAGATTGTCAACAGAATCAGGTGAGATGCATCCAGCTGGGCCACAGTCAATTTACAAATATACCTTGAGACAAAGTTTTATTAATGCCTGCATAATACGCCTCCCGTTTGTTCTGTGTATACTTCAATCTGGTCATCCTCTTCCATTTCCAACTATGTAAAAAAAGATTCAAAGGTTATTCCTAATGATTGTATTATGTCATTAACCGAACCTGGGGTCACTCTAACATATTTTTTGTTTAGCCAATTGGCTAGAGTCAACAATTTATTTTTAGCCAATTGAGGCTGTCTTTAGCCAAAATTTGACGAAAATTGTTAAAAATCATTAGCCAAACTTGCTGACAGGACACGGTGTCCAACATGTTCGAACCAAGGGGCCGAATAAAGTCCTGCGAGGCGGATCCAGTGATGTACAACAGGAGTCGGCGATCTAGACAACACTACTCTGGGGGGGGGGGATCCTACAGTATTTTTTTATAGTTTTGAATAATATTGGGGGTGGGGAGCTAGCGGTGGTTTTACTGGACTACAGTATATTCAAAATTAGCTTGAGGCCCGATCGTCCACAACAGTTGGGCCCGATCATGTCACCCTAAGTTGTCACCCCGATAATCAAGAGCGTACACGATCTAGGCCCTAGGCTAGGCTAGCCTTGATTGCGAAATTACTCTCTCTACAACACAAGTACGTACACTGTTTAAATGTATTTTAAGTATTTGACGATAACACAAAATCACTGATTAAATTATTATTAACGATACTAGGATGTACTCTTTCGACCACCATCACATCGCATCAGCCCTCGTGCTTTTGTGGTGTTGCCTTCATATTAGTTTACGTTGTACAGCCGCTGCCCTGCATCACCCGCGTTAAAATAACAATTACAAACTTACGCAATGACGTTTGCAGCATGACTACTCATACAACAACACAAATAAGCGTTTCTTTCTTTGATTTTAAGCTTACGCCAAAATGGCTGAAGCAGTTGATTTTATTTTCGCCAATCCAAAATATTTTTCGCCAATGGTGATTTGGCGAGCGGTTAGCGTGAGCCTAGCAACTAAACAATATGCAGGTTCAGACGAGTCAGAAGTGAGCTATGAAGTATCATTTTACTTGTTATAAGACCTGGGATGTGCCTGTGAAGACGATCATTGTATTAAGTTACTACAGATGATTTATATCTAAGAAATCAATACGATACTCCTTTATTGTCATTTTAACAGCATGGTAAAAATGAAATTTGTGTTGGTCTCAAGAATATGTGTGCTACTTCCGCATACACAAGGAATGTAAGGAATAACGTGCTCAGATTAGACTCGCTTACTTCAAAGCTCACAAGTAAAAATGACCTTCATTATGACCTCAATTCATTCAAAAGATAATTACTACAAATGAGCAGGATGAGTGCCATAAATAACATTTCCTGTGATGTGTAAAAATCTTTGTTGACATGATGTTTTCATAATTGTTTAAAATTTCAAGAATTTGTGTGCAAAATAACAGTAGAGAGGCAACAAACATGGTGATTATCACTTCCGGAAAATTTGCATAGCTCTATGCTTTGAACTAGCTTTGAAGTAAAAAGAACATTATGGCCATAGTAAGCATCATATGGACACTCATCGGATGTAAGGCACGTAAACATTTACGTCTGTCGCAGCAAGTAAAGTCTGGTTTCCATAAAATCACACTGTTAACAACCCGTTGGCGACTCTCGATAGCAAATTGAATAGACATGCTCAATATTGATGAGCAGGTTGGCTACTACCAGTCTTTCACACAAAATCAAAATTTTCTAATCAGAAGAGACTACCGAACGGATCAAAATATGGCTGTTTTTGGTTTTTCTTTTTTTTTAACTTACCGATGCTGGCGTATCAGCGTCGTTTATTCTTGAACCCTCAAACATAAAACGTATTGAATTTATATTCAGTCCCTAAAAGAGATCAAATTACTATTTTTACATTTTTTTTCTGGTGTAAAGCATCCCAAAATTTAAATACATAAAATAAATAATTTTTCTCCCATTAATAATACTGATTCTGGTATTTTTTTTCTTTGATGTGTAGAATTATTCAAGGTAGACAACACCAAAGTTAAAGCTTGGAGTGGGAGTCCTTCTTCTATTATAAGGTTTGGCATCACACTATTGCTTTTTAAAGGGGCACATCTGAACACTATCAAATATTATTTGTAATTTGAAAGATTTCCATATATGAATTTATCAAAAAATGTACAAAAGTGATTAAGTACTTATATTCTTAACTTTGACAATAGTATTGGATTTATTTGGTGTAAACACCAAGGACAGCCCACAAAAGTGTAGAAGACGACTTATTTCCAGTGGGGTCCTTCTGGTGGTGATTGGACAGTACACTGGGAGACAATCCCCTACTCTTTTCTGAAGAGTGTACTGTGTACTTTAACGTGCACATGGGCCATAAATGCACACGGGACCAATGGCTTAAACGTCTCATCCGAAAAACGGTGCGCTATCTAACTTGTATTTCAGCCCTCTAGCTGAAACACAAGGACAGGCAGCGATGGGGACAGGCCCAATGTTTAACGTAAACACAATGTTATGGCGTTCTGTAAAAATATGCATCTTGAGAGTCTAAAGGTGTATTCAATTATATAAAGAACATTTTCGTCGATATTATTTTTAAACAAAATCTAAGAGGGTCATTTGAGGACTTGTAGGTGATTTGGTATGGGATGAGCCTTTAACAATTTTCATTTACCTGTCTTTCAGCAAATGTATGCATAAGTTTTCTAAGAGCTGTGTTCTTTTTTATTTTAAATTGAACAGTTCCACCATCCTGTAAAACAAAGCAAAACATTAAACATGCAACTTCATTACAATTTTTAAAATAAAATTTATCAGCCAATAACAAATAGCCAATTGCAGTTGATAAGAGATTTACACTGTAGTGCTATGAGGAGCTGGTTGAAATTATACCTGATGAGATTATATAATATTAATAAAAACATCACTACTATAAGACTGCAAGATTACAGTAACTTGGTGATAATAATGATGACATTATTTAAACAAAAAATGTCTGTTGGTTGATACTACACAACGTTCCCACAGTGGAGCTACAAGCGTGCAGGAATATAGTTATGGTGGCCGAGGTCACCCAGTCTTGGAAGATTTCAACCCAGTCAGAAGCTAATTTCATGGCCCTCCATCCAACCAGGCGCAATTTTTTTTCCGTACAAAACATTTGCATGAAACTTCACTTGATCTGTTTCAACTGGAAGATCTCATAACGCACAGAATTCAGGAGGTCAAGAGATCATCAACCAAAGACAAAAGTCTACAAAACTTCTCGGAGATAATGTCGCTGCCTGATTAAAAAAAAATACATTGATGTTACCATGCTAATTAATAACTAATAGCCATTTAAAATGACATGTAAACTTGAGCTCCACGAGTAATAAAGTGATATTTGAACTTCTAGGATAATTCTAGTACTAAAAATTATACATAATAAAATAGGCAGAGTTTCAGGGAAAAGAACAAAGAGGAAGGAAAAGAACAGCATGTTTGGTCAAATGAAACATGGTGACAGTTATTTTCAAATTTAAATAAAAGCTGAGAATAGATAGCTCTAAAATACTGGATGCCATAAGACCTGAGTTTCACCAATGAATGTTGTTAATTATAGGCCTACCTGTAGTAAATAGTTTGTACTGTAGGTTTTTATTATTTATTATTAATATTACATGACAAGGCTTAGGTGAAGTTTAGTAATGCTGGAATTATATATTTAATATATTTTTTCTTATAATAATAATAATAATTTTCTTATGCACTGTCCCATTTTATTTTCATGCTTCAAACTTGTTTCTTTTTTTTCCTTCAAAATTTCAATCAATGTTATGTTAAGCATGACTGTTGATGCCAAGAACCCTAGCAAAGGGGTCTAGTGTAAGGAGGGGCCTAGATAGCCTCTTTTTCTCTAGCCTTTGATATTACTGTAGTACCTATCTACAGTACTACTGGCACTTAACTTTACAGAAGGGGGTACTAGCTGTTGTTGTTGTAGGTAGTATTATACTAACATTTAATAACATATAAGAAGTGGGAAGTTACAGACGTACATCCTATAAATTGGTAAGATTTCATAGGCCTACCATAGGTAAACATAGAAAGAACAATAATATTAATACTCGAGTGTCACAACATTGCAAAGCCTCTGCTCTTGTTCCAAATGAGTATCGTATCAAACTGGAGAAGAGTCAATCCGAGTGGAGTTTCATGCAAATGTTACGTATGGAAAAAAAAATTGCCACACAGGCCTTCCTAATTATCCAAATTTTCATCCTTAATTCCACTCTTATTACTATGTTATCACCCACCCACCCTTAATGTCTACAGTATTACCCACTCTTATGATGACCCTAACTCCGCTACCTGTGAGCGCTACAGTAGACGATGCGACGCTGTCTACTGATAGTTGGTGGCAGTCTGAACGGATTGACATTAAAAGCGATCTGTTTCACGCGCGTCACAGTGTTGCGTTCTACATAAAATCGAGTCAGCCGACAACCGTAGCAAGTGCCCAGCTTTACAATCCCACACTGTACATAGGAAAATAGGTGTGCAAAATCGTGATTGCTTAGCTCTAATTATTAGGATAAAATAGGAGAAGGGAATATCAAGTTTTCTGGGGAGTTCTGATTTAGCTCCCCCCCACCCCACCCCCCAC